AAAACTTTCAGCTCTCCAAATTTCCTCCATGGAAAAAGACAGAACATTGCCTCAGAAGGAATATACAGCAGTGGAAATAAAAGTTAGGGTTAAGTGGTTGCTCTAAGAAAGTCAAGAAGATCCCAGGAAAGCCCTGACCTTCTGGGGCAGAGGTTCAGTCTGAGTGAAGTGCAAACACCTCCAGTCCAACTCTGTGGAATCAACAAACAAGTCCTGGGGGCAGCTTGGGTTGAAAGGCAGCCTCAGCCTTTCAAACTTTCATCTCACCAACAGTGTGGGGGTCTGAAGTCTGAGTAGGTGAAGGTTGAAGCACCTTCCACTATGGAGGGACCCCAAGCACAGATGGGCTGACCAGACCATCCAGGGCTGTAAATGTGCGGAGAAGGAGCTAACACACACCTAGTGAACGTAGTAGCAGAGAGGTGGGGACCCTGCTGGCTGTGGGCATTTGCAAGAGAGCAGCGCCCCTGTTTTCAGTTCCTGGGAAGAGAGGACAACTGTAGTTTGGAGTCACAGGAGAGACCACAGGGAGTAAGATCATTTGCAAGAGTGTGTGGTGGGGGTGGGAGGGGTGTCTAGCAGTGGCTTAGGAGTGGGGAGGAAAGCTCAAGGTTGAATCCTGGAACAGACTTCAGAAAATAACAGTAAGAAGGACCTGAAGCTTGGGGCATTATTCCCCATGACTCGGGACTAGAACTTGATCATACCAATACCTTCTAAAAACAAAAGAAAACAAAAAATAAAATAAAATAAAAATGAGCAAGCAAAAGAGAAAGAACCCAATCATAGACAGTTACTATGGGGAAAGAGATCTGGGTTCATATTCAGAGCAAGATAATGGAGCTAAAAGAGTCACTCTTTTTTCAGTGAGAAATGTCAAATGGTACCAAGCACAAAAAAAGTTCTTGGAAGAACTTTAAGAGGATTTAAAAATCAAATAAGAGAGTTCAAAGAAAAATTAGGGAAAAAAGAGCAATCTAAGAAAATCAATAAAATTATGAAAAGAAAATCACTCAACTTGTAATAGAGAATCAAAAATTTAAGTTAAGTATAATCCTGAATGGAAAAAAATGGACATTTAATGAACTGAAAGACTTTCAGGTATTTGTGACAAAAATAGCAGAACTTAAAGGAAAATTTGACATATAACATCCAGGAGAAATATGGGGTAAACATTAAGGACAACATTAAGGTAAACATAAGGAACTCAATGAGGTCAAATTGTTTGCTTCTTATATATGAAAATATTGTCAGTTCTTTTATGACTGTCATTTTTATTTGGGAAGTTTGAAAGAAAGGCTTGAGCTGAACTGAGTATGATGGAGTGATTCTAAAAAAAATTAAACTGTGTAGGGAGAGATAAAAAGAAACAATTAGCTCATACAAATGAGGCATAAAAGGAAAAACGAATACAGAAGAAGCTAGTGGGGGGAGAGCAGATAGTGCTAAAACTTTACTCTCATCAGGAATGGGTTAAAGAGGAAACAACATATAGATCTAGAAGGTTATACAAGTCTTCTAAATTCAGAAAGAAATAAGACAGCAAGGGAATGGGATGGGGAGAGAATAGGCGGAGGATCTCTGAAAGGTTGGGTAGATTAAAGAATCTGGCAGAAGTAAAGCAGAGGAGGGATAGGAATAGGGTGAGAAGGATAGTGAGGAAAAATAGGAAGAAGGAAAACATACAAGAAGTAATTATAGCTTAGAAGGTGAACAGAATGAATAAACCCATAAAATAGAAACTGATAGCAGATCGAAAATTTGAATTTAACAATATTTCAGGAAATGCTATAAAAATGAAAGATGCACACAAATATAAAATAAAGGTCAGGAGTAGAATTTATTATGTAAAAAAAGCAGGAATAGTAATCATGATCTCAGACAAAGTCAAAGCTAAAATAGATTTAATCAAAAGAGAAAAATAGGAAATAGGGAAACTACAGTATGGGTCAGCCATATTATCCAATATTGCTTTAGATCACTTAAAAGAACTACACAGTATAAAATACCTGAGAGTATACATGCCAAAACAGACACAAGAAGAATATGAACATAAACAGAAAACAGTTTTTGTACAAATAAGATTGGATCTAAATAACTGACATAATATTTATTGTTCATGGGTAGGTAAAGCCAATATATTTTTTAAAATGACAGTTTTACCTAACTAATCTATTTTTGTAATGTCATCCCAATTAAATTACTAAAAAATTATCTTATTGAATTGGAAAAAATAATAACAAAGATCAATTGGAAGAACAAAAGGTCAGGAACTTCAAAGAAACAGGAGAAAAAAAGATGTAAAGGAAGCGGATTCAGGAGCATCAGACTTTAAACTATATTATAAGATAAGAGCATTGTTGAAGTGTAAAATGGATAATTTTTTTATTATTTTAAAATTTTCTGTATAAATAAAACCTATGCAGTCAAGAATAGAAAGAATGCAGAAAATTAAGGGAAAAAACTTTCACAGACAATCTCTCAGATAGAAAATGATTGGGCTGTAATATTGCTGTGGCGTAGGAAATGATGAGCTGGATGATTTAAGAAAACATGGAGACTTGGACTTATGAAGGAAGATGCTATCCACCCTTCAGAGAGATAGATGACAAGTGGAAATAAGCATAGTACAGTCTTCCATATATGTGTATGAGTGTACATGTGGGTATGTTTATAGATATCTATGTATGTGTATATGTATGTATATGTGTGTATATAGCTATAAATATCTCAATTATTTGTAACCTTCTTTGGGACAGGAGGGAAAGGGAAAAACAAAGTAAAAAGTGCACAGCAGAGAACAAAAGAAAACCTACAAAGAAGCAAAGAAAAGCTAAACAGCTTTGAAAATAATGTGTAGTGTTTATTATACAGATTTTCTTGAAAGGGAAATTTGTTGTTTTATATTGAATACTTTCAATTTCTGCTGTGTATATGGCAATGCTTTTTTTTTTCTTTTCTTGTTTTGTATTTAAGTTTAAAATAAATTTTAAAATTTACCAAAAAGGAAAAAAAATCAGCTTTCTAATAAAAAATATGTGAATAGAGTCTGAAAAATGTTCATTTACCATTTAACATAAAACTACTTTTAACCTTGAAATGAGAAAAAAACCACACTACTTTAATATTTAAGAGGAACTAAAACTTCCAAGGATGTCTCATGTGGAATATTTCTTTAAAATCTATTAAGAATAACTGAAACAGCCACATAAGCTTGATTTTGCCATTTGACTGAAATGAAACAAGTGGCATAAATCCTTATTTAGGGAGCCAGTCTGAAACTGCTTGGGCAATTAACACTAGTCTTTAAAAACCATTCATCTCCTCTATTTCTTTAAACAAACCTGATTTTATGTACAGCTCAAAAAAAGACAAGGGAGGGGAGAAGAGATAGGGACATTAAGTTGCTGGTCAGAAATTGCATCCACACAAGATTTGCTCTTAAGAAAAAGTGTTTTGGGAGCAGCTAGGTGGTGCAGTGGATAGAGCTCTGGCCTTGGAGTCAGGAGGACCTGAGTTCAAATCGGACCTCAGACACTTGACACTTACTAGCTGTGTGACCCTAGGCAAGTCACTTAACCCTCAATTGCCTTACCAAAAAAAAAGTTTTGCTGATTTATTTTAACATACCATGGGCTTTTTTTTAATCAAACGTTTTTTTTTCCCCAATCACTGAAGCATATTTCCTAACAAGCTTAAGATCACTCACTTTTTAAAAGAAAAAATAGCAGCTGTATTGAGCTTTATCCAAACCCTAGCAGGGTGTATATAGATTTAAGGTTACTACCTGGCATTTCCCGTTTTTGACATATGATGCCAAACGCTAATTGGGTGTATCAGCGTTTCACATGAGCAACTGTTTGGAGGTAAGTAAAGAAGCGAACAAGAATACCATGAAGGCAAACTGTGTAAGGGAGAATGTACCAGAAAGAGAGCAGCTGTGCTAGCAGAGAGAGTACACCTGGAGTGTAAACAGTAAGACAAAGTAGAATCAAATAATTTCCACCTGAACACTTCCAACAAGCTGGGATTACTTTGGCGTAAGTGCTCTCTCCACTGACACAGATCTCAAGTCTCCTATGACTTTTAATGTCTTCAAGGCCAGCTGAAAACAAAATGATGATCCTGCAGCCAGCCCATCTGGTGATGAGACTCTCTGAATTTGACTGGTCAGGTTTACATAAAGTTTGACTCCAAGCTTTTCCTGCTTGGTAGGACCTGGAAGTCCGTGTGATTCACTAGAACAACCTTAGTACCCAGTGTTACCTGAAACCCACACGAAGCATCAGAGGAGGCATTGGTGGAGGACCTCTCTCTACTTCAACATATCTTCAAAAGTATGAGGGGGAAGGGATTAGCTCAAAACCAACACCAAGTTCCAGGTAATAAAATATAAACTTCTTTTTTCTTGCTTTTCTTCACTTTTTTGCTTCTGAGTTGGTTGCCAGTTTAAACAGTCTCGGGCAAAGTGACAGCCAATGGCACAAGAAATTAAACTATTCGGAGAGGCAGATTTTTAAGTCATCGAGGGAGAAACTGGGTTGTTGGACAAGCTTTTCTATGGGAAAATCTATGTCTCTATAAGTAACTTGGAAACACACATTTCCACAGTTAGGTGGAGGGGGCGCTTTCTTTATCAAATTTCAGGTTCCTGAGCCTAGCTACGTGTCTGACTGATGCGAGGGAGAGGGGAAGAAAGAACGATTAGAGAAAACACACCTATCTCCTAAACAAGTTCCATCAGCTAAACACTTTCAAAGTGCTTCTCCATTTCATCTGTAAAATAGGTTTTAAGCAGAAAAAGTGCACTCAGAAAAGCAGCCTGAAAGTGAGTCTCAGGTTGTACTGAGCATCAGACAAAAGGCCGGGCTATTGGGATTACGCTACCCTACGAGCGCCCAGAAAGCTACAAACTCCGACTTTCACTTTTTCCCAAGAAAGCAAAAACCCACTCCTTCCTCCCATCCCCCCCAGGCAGCGAGAGGAAGGAAGACCATTACCTGGGGCAAACACGTTGGCTCCATAGGCGCAGGATGAGTCCGAACCTCTTTCCAACGGCGCAGCTCCTGAGAACCCACTACTGTGCACACCTCACGGAAAGAGTGCTTGCTAGTTGCTGCTGCCGCTGCCTGCTTCCAAAGCTATCCTTTCTCCTGACCGCTCTGCCTCAAACAAGGAACCCCTCCTACGAGACCCACTAAAGTAGAATGGGCAACCTCCTCCAGCACTCCACCTCCTCCCCCTTGCCTCTCCCACCCCTGAAACCAAAAGGAGGAGCCAAGAGCCAGAGGAAGACCTGGGATGAGGGCGCCCTCTGGGTATCACCAGAGTAAAGATAGTTCTCTCATTCTTCCCTAAACTCTCCTTTCAACCCAGATGGGAAATTTCACAACCTCCCAAGTACATCCGCTGTCTCCCTTAGTCATGACCTCAAGTTCTTCTTCCTCCTCTTTCTTCTTTTCTCAGTTCCCTTTATCCCTCCCATAAGGGCCACCTCAATGCACGAGAGAAATTGGAATATTTAACTTTTTTTTTTTTACAATTGTTTTCATGTTTCCCCAACCAACGGGAGAAACCAAAATTCAGACCAATTTTTATTCTCTCCTCTTCTTAGGACAATGATGGTTAGTGGCAACTGATCAAAGAACAGAAGGAACAACACGGATAACTAAAAAGGAAGCATTTCTATGAGGCCCAGGCAACAGGTGTTCTAAATGCCCTTTATTAAATAGGCTGAGGTTAAACATTCTATGAGATCTCCCAGATTTCATAGCAAAAAGTGCAAAACTTCATTCTCCTGACCATAAACCGAAGATAAATTTTACAGCTTAAAAAAAATATCAATGAGCGATTTTCTATACATTGTAATCTTTTAGATGACTATATATTTTTCCCTTTACAAATGGAGGTTTCATTCATCATATTTGGGTACTTAAAAACAACTTCTTTTCCTTATCCAGTTAGGAAAGAAAATGATATGTTTTCACTTGAAGTTTGACTACTGTAACTATATTAATGTGCAACAATCCTATTAAAATATTAGAAATTAAGTGGTCCAACACATAGATTGTTGGACTTGAAGTCACAAAGATCTGAGTTTGAGTACTGCCCAAGAGATTTACCAGCTTTGTGACCCTAGGCAAGTCACTTAGCATCACTCAACCTCAGTTTCTTTTTCTGTAAAATGAGGATAATAATAGTATCTCTCTTACCAGGGCTATTACTAAGATTCAAATGGGAAATGAGATAGCATATGTCAAAGGTGGGGAACCTTTAACCTGGGCCTGGGGGCTATATGTGGCCCTCTAGGTCCTCAAGTGCAGGCCCTTTGACTGAACCCAAACTTCACATGAAGTTGAGGACCTAGAGGATGACACGTGGCCTGGAGGCTTAAAGTTCCCCACTCCTGCATATATAAAGTGTTTTGCAAACCTCAAAGAGCTGTGTAAATTCTAGCTGTTATTAAATCAGAAAAGCCTCATAGTGTTAAGAATTCAAGTGAATTTTTTTTAAAAGCAAGAGATAAAAATGTAATGTTGCTTTTTAATCTGTGGATTTGCCTCATCATTAAAACAGAAACCATATAACCCAAAATACCCTGAAAATAAATGCAGGATATGCTATTCAGGCTAAGTTAAATAACTTTACAGTAATATTACTCAATCAACACCTGGCTATGCAAATTCTTCTCTTTGAATTATTCTTAGTTTAAGGACAATTTTTATTTTTACCTCCTTCCTCTATCACCCAGTAAAACCTTAAGCTGAATAGACTTACATATGATCAACCGATTGTCATTTACTATGTAAAATGATTGAGGGTAAAACTATCATAAAATATTAGTCTATTTGGAGAGGTATCTCTGAAAGTTTTCTGCAGAAATTGGCTTAAATCCCAGTTCTGTCGCTTATTAACCGTGTGATTATAGACAAGGTTCTGAACTTCCATTTTCCCCTCTATAAAATGGGAGTAAGTTATGTCATTGATTCTCTTCAAGAATGAAAGACCATCAAAGGATATGATCAGGCATTTCTCAGATAAGGAAATTAAAGCCATCTATAGTCATATGAAAAATGCTCTAAATCACTATTGATTAGAGAAATGCAAATCAAAACAACTCTGAGGTACCACATCATACCTATCAGACTGGCCAAGATGACAAAACAAGAAAATGATAAATGTTGGAGAAGACATGGGAAAATTGGAATACTAATGCATTGTTGCTGGAGTTGTGAAATGATCCAACCATTTTGGAGAGCAATTTGAAACTATGACCAAAGGGCTATAAAAATGTGCATACCCTTTGACCCAGCAATAGCACTTCTAGGGCTATATCCCAAACAGATCATACAAATGGGAAAAGGACCCACATGTACAAAAATATTCATAGCAGCTCTTTTTGTGGTGGCAAAGAATTGTAAATTGACAGGATGCCCATCAATTGGGGAATGACTGAGGAAGTGTGGTATATGAATGTAATAGAATACTATTGTGCTGTAAGAAATGATGAACAGGCAGACTTCAGAAAAACCTGGAAAGACTTGTATAGTCTGATGCTGAGTTAAGTGAGTAGAACCAAGAGAACGTTGTACACAGTAACAGCCACTTTGTGTGATGACTAATATTGATAGACTTAACCCTTCATAGTAACGCAAGTATCTAAGACATCTCCAAAGGCCTCATGATAGAAAATGCTATTCATATCCAAAGAAAGAACTATGGAGTTTGAATGCAGATCAAAGCACACTATTTGCAATTTTTTTCTCTTCTGCTGAGTTTTGTTTCCTCTTTCTGGTGGTTCCTCCTATTGGTTCTAATTTTTACTTACAACATTACTAATCTGAAAATATTTTAATAAAAAATAAATAAATAAATAGGAAAAAAAATGAAAGACCATCACCAGCTACAACAACAATGACAAAATTGGGGTAAGAATACTTGGTAAAGTGTTAGTTATATAAATGAAAAAAATTTTTTATTTCCACTGGGAAAGAAATATACTGGAGATGCATGATTCTGCTAATTAAAATGTATTGGATATAGAAGGTAACTCATGCTCATGATGAGAGACAAACTTTCAATGTTCTCTGGGAGTTCAAACTAGAGCCAAAATTATAGTGGAGGGACTGAGATTTTGACCCAGGGCACTGAATTTTAGAGAGAGGTGTTTCTTCTCCAAGTGGTGAGAGACCCTTTTGGGTGATCAGTAAAGTCAAAACTATTTTCATAATGATACTAAGATTTTAATTTCTAATACAGCAAATATCAACGGGCAGAACCCAAATAAGTAAGTTATTTGGGATCCTCAATAATTTTTAAGAGTACAAAGAGGTTGGGGCAGCTAGGTGGTGCAGTGGATAGAGCACCGACCCTGAAGTCAGGAGGACCTGAGTTCAAATCCAGACTCAGACACTTAACACTTACTAGCTGTGTGACCTTGGGCAAGTCACTTAACCCCAATTGCCAAAAAAAACAAAAAACAAAAAAAACAACACCTTACAAAAAGTTTGAAAACCATTGTGCTAACCCCATATCATGACATCCCAACATACACATTTGAAGTACACCTGCCAGGCTTCCTTGGGCCCTGGACCTCTAACAGCCAAGGAGGAAGGACAACTTTCCTATTGCCTCAACCCAATTCATTTTTCCTCCTTCTTCCTTCTCTGGGAATGAGGGAGCATAGAGATTGGTATCTCAGATCAGTGACTGAGCTTTGGGGATGTAGGTCCAACCCTCTAGAAGACAAGGCCACTTATCCCTTAACACAATCACATTTAACTAGGGCAGACTGTACAAATCAGGGGCTCCCAAGTACGTCACCTGTGGTACAATGGAGGTTGAAAGCCAGTGCATGTTGGCCAAGGCAGGATATTTGACAAGGATATTATGAGGGACTAAACTAGATAAAAAGAATCCTCTAGTCATGGTATATCTGAATTTCAGTCAGGCATTTGAAGTCCCTTAAAATATACTTGCAGTGAAAATGGAGACATGGGGGGTGGATAATATAATACAGTCAGGTAGGATTCAGAACTGTTTTCAAAGATTATTAATTAACAGATATGTCAATCTAGGAAGTGTTGAGTAAAATGCCACAGTGTTCTGACCTTGATCCTGTTATTATCAACTTCTTTATCAGTGACTTGAGTGAAGGTACATGCATCACATTTATCAAATTTGCAATTAAAAGGAAGCTAGAAAGAGAAGTTAACACTGGATGAAAAAATCAGTCTTCTAGGTTCCCAAAGTGGGCAACACCACCCCCTGGGGAGTTCTAGGACAATCCAGGGGGGGCAGTAGTAGCCTTATGTGCAATTGGGGTGTTGAATAAAAATAAGGGGGAAGTAGAAGCATAAAAAAAGAAGAGAAGAAAATTTTGAAAAACTGTTCCTATATGTTTCATCTGCTGTGTATCCAAGTTAAAGTTGTAGCGATTACATTATTTTCCAAATAAATATACAAAATGCAAGTTATAACCAATCAATGGTCAAGTTCACTGACAGGTCTTAACTAGCAAGTATTGGCAGGTAAGGGTGTCTCAAATTGTTGGGAAGTCCAGCATGCATCAGCAGGAATATGTGCATGTAATGGCTTGTTTACAACATAATGCTATATGGTTACATGATGCAATATTGCATCATCAAAATTTCGATGCAGGAAAAATCCCCACAAATTTATAATAAATTATTAAATTTAAGATGCATCATTTAAAAAATATATATATATTTTATATTTTTTGAAATGATACAATTTTTTAAAAACCATTAAAGGGTTAAAGAAAGTAGATTTCCAGGGGTACACTGAATATTTTTCTAAAAGGGTGTGGTAGTCCAAATAAGTTTGGGAACCTCTGGTCTACATAGACCACAACTGGGTGGAACAGTAGGCTGAAGCTAATAAGATGAAACACAGTAGGATAAATGTGAAAGCCTACACTCAGATTAAAAAATCAGCTGGACGAATACAGGATGGGGTAAAATGGTTTGAAAGCAGTTCAGACCTAAGAGATTTAGTAGATTGTGCTCTGTGATGGCCAAAAGAAGAAATGCAAAGTAAGGCTGAAATCTTTTTTTTTTTAAAAATTCAAATGGCATTTATATAACACTTTAAAGTTTCAAAAGCACTGTATAGACATTTATCCCATTTGAATCAAACAATAATCATATTGTGAGGCAGATATTTAGTGCGTGTCAGTCTGAATCCAGCTCTCTCCTGACTAAA